CTGAGCTGGACTGCTGGTCATCCTGCTAAAAAAGTTACTGGAAAAGGGGTGGGGGAAATGCCTGTAATCTATAGCATTAACCTATAAGCTTTTACTTATGGGTTGGGGGTAGGCCCCAGACCCCCCCGCCCCCCCCGGAGCCAGGACTGAGCTGGACTGCTGGTCATCCTGCTAAAAAAGTTACTGGAAAAGGGGTGGGGGAAATGCCTGTAATCTATAGCATTAACCTATAAGCTTTTACTTATGGGTTGACTGACTACACTATTACATCCCTAGCATGAAGCCTCTTTTTACTAGGCAAAAGATTTCTAAAATGTGTTAATTGGTAGGGAGAGGGCTGGCGTTAACTTCCCTCATCCCAAAAAAGAGGGAAGTGGTGACAGCTTGTGAAATCAGATAAGGTAACTCAGACCCTCTATGAGGTCTGTTTATTTACTGGCTATGCAGATATTTGCTTTCCCACCTGAGATGCATGGCCTGCAGAATACTCAAAGTCCATCCTTTTTGGTTTTATTTTACTGGTTCCCAGGTATGTCACAGTTTATTTCAAATATTACAAATGGAAGAAAATTGTGCAAAAAAATGCACAGATTTCTGAATAAAGATCAGAGGGAGATGGGAGGACGGAAAGGGCAAAAGAAATGAACATCCAGACAATAAAAGCTGCTTAATGCTGGGATTTAGCCTGTTAGCATACATTCATGAAATGTCTTCCACTACCATGGTTCTCAGCCAGGGGTCCAGGTCCCCTGGGAGGTCATTAGCAGGTTTCAGAAACCAGACTAAACCAGAGAGGGTTTAGCCCTAGACTTGCTGGGTTCCAGGTCAGAAAATCAAAACCTGAGCCCCATTACCTGAAGCAGAAGCCCAAAGCAACTTAACTTCTCATGGCTCCCAGCATCCTGTTTTCAAAAGGAACCTTTGCCCTGCCAGCTACCCCGAACGTCAGTGGCTTTTAGTCTACTAGATCTGCAAAAAGACAGTTCTTGCGGCCTAGGTGGGCCATGACACTTTGATAGCATCTTGGGGGAAAGGGGTACAGTAGTTAAAGGGGGGAGGACCCAGCCTGCCAGTTACAGGTACTTAGGAAACAGCTACCTAATGAATTTTGCCACAATCACTCTTTTCACATACAGGAATGGTACAAAATTCAGGTGGAAACTGGTTAAAAAAAAGCATTGTTTTTATAAAAAACCTGCCATTTTTTGGGAGGAGTACAAAGATAGGAAAAAAGGGACATGACCTGTCTCCTGCACCGTGCAGCAGCCCACAAACCTGGAGCCTGGGTCCAGAGAGCCAAATCCATGCTCAGCAAGAAGCACTTTGTGCAGCAGGCCAGGGGACGGGCTGTTACAGCTGAGACAGGGAGAGCTGGGAGCTGGGGCAATAGAATTGCTTTCAGGGAGGGTGGTTGCTAGGGCTGCCAGGTGTCCGGTATTGACCCAGACAGTCCGGTAGTTTCACCTCCGGTCTGGTAAAAAATTCAGAAAATACCAGACACCTAAAATGTCCGGTATTTTCTGATTCTTTCCCGGCCAGGAAGCAAAAATCCCAGGTGTTTACCTGGTTCCACAGGTGAGCTGTCCGGGCTAGAGCAGCTAGACAAGATGGTAGACAGCTGCCTGCAGCCTGTTAGGGCCAAAAAACCTCAAAGGCATTTCTTAAAGGGGCCATGCTGTTTTTTGGGGGTTTTTTTTTTTTTGCTTAATAACTGTCAGGGGTCCCTTCCCCCACAAACAACTTTGGTCTCCCCCTTCCCCCCCAAAAAATATTTCTCCCCCCCACTGGGTTTTTTTGGGGGGGGGGAGGAGGGGCATGTTTGGTATTTTTGGTTAAACCATCTAGCAACCCTAATAGTTCTGTGGTTAAGATACTGGCTTTCAAGAGACAGGAGTTGTTCCCAGCTCTATGATAATCTCTGTGCTCAGTTCCTCTATGTCATGGGTTCCCAAACTGGGGGGCATGAAGCAATTCCTGGGCCCCCCCCCAAGACAACCCAGCACTCTTCCCTCCCACCCCCCCTTCAAGTTTTGCTGCTGTTTTTGTTTCAGCCCTGGTCAATTTTTTTTTCCCCTCAAGTTTTGCTGCTACTGGGGGGAGGGTGTGAGAGTCTCAAATCAAAAAGGGGGCATGATGCCAAAAAGTTTGCGAACCCCTACTCTATGTAGTGGGGGTGGAGATCTCTGTTCATTTGTCTGATGTAGTTAAACCAGGGGTGGGCACCCTGTAGCCTGCAGGCTGTATGTGGCCCACCCATAAAGTAACTGAATGGGATTTTGCATCCCTAGTTCTATGAGCAGCCTACAAAGTGTTTTGCATAGCACAGGGTTGCCAGATTCCACTGGTTTCCATCTGTGGTTTTGTTCCTACCAGTGTTACTAAAGTGACACATGTACAGCAAGGGCACATGAAGCCAAGTGTGTGCTGAGTGCACACAGCATTGTCAGAGCTGTGTGCTCCCTCTGCAGCCAGTCAAAGCACTGCTGTGGGTCAATCAGCACCCCCCACAAGTGTTAGGGACTCAAGCAGAGTTAGCAAAACTATCCTATCCCAGGAGACCGGCTTGGTTACAATCTTGCTGCTCACTGAGATGAAGGAGGGCCCCTCGTGCCACCCACTCACTAGCCTAGGCTGCTTATTGCGGAGTTAAAACAGTCTCAAATGCTATTTAGGCTCCTAACTGCCATAGTTTTCAACAAGCGTTAGGTACATTTGGAGATCTAGATGTGCCTCCGCAATCTGGGTAGGGACTCCCAGACCTTAGTTGATGCCCCTGGAATACAAGGAAAAATCTAATACCAGCCCCTGCAGGAGCCTTCCAGCACCAAACACGGCTACCCATGGTTGGCATGAATGGATAGGAAGCAGGAAAAGACTTTAGGCTTCTCTAATAGTGCGCTTGAGGGAAACCAACATTCCCCAAGTGGAAAGGAAAGTGCTGGTTTTCTGCCTCTGCCCCCCGGCAGCTCCTGCCACAATAGGTTGCTTTCAAAGCACCATGTGCTCCTGGCAGGGCGAAAGGAGGCTTTGCATACTCCCCTGCCTCCAGGCCAATTAGGGTCAGGGGGAGGGTGTGAAGTTTCCTCTGCCCTACCAGGAGCATGTGGCTCTTGGAAGCGCCAGGCACTCCTAACAGGGCTGGAGAAGGCTTCACGCATTCCCCCACCCCCTGGCCAATCAGGGCCTGAGGGCAGAGGAGCGAACAAAGTTTCCTCCGCCCTAGTCCCGCTCTGTGAGGAGCATGCGGCACTTAGAGGTGCTGTGTGCTCCCCTGCCCCCAGGCCCTGATTGGTCTGGGGGCAGGGGAGCATGAAGTCTCCTCCCCAGCCAGGGGCATGGGCACCTAGGGGAAAGGAGGGGCAGGCCAGCAAAGGTGCTCCTCTAACCCCAGATGGTCTGAAGGTAGGGAAACTCGGAAGTATCCCGCCCCCATCCCTTCGGCTAGAGGCCCCGCCCCTTTCGGAGCAGCCCAGGGCCACTTCAGAAATTTTTGAAGTGTCCCCAGGCAAAAAATTATTGCCCACTCGTTTTAGGGGAGAGTTTGCAATGGGCTTGCATGAAACCCCTGAAAAAACCTTAAGTTAAGCAATGAGTCAGGCTGCGGAGCAACGCAAGCCACAGCCGAGTGGGAAAATACAAGCCCTGTCAGGGAAGCTAGTGATGACTCATTCTCCAAATCCTTTGCAACATAAGAATGGCTTGTACCAAAGGTCCATCTAGCCCAGTATCCTGTCTTCTGACAGCAGCCAGGTGCCCCAGAGGCAAGGAACAGAGCAGGGAATCAAGTGATACATCCCCCGTCACCCATTCTCAGTCACTAGCCGAGTGGGAAAATACAAGCCCTGTCAGGGAAGCTAGTGATGACTCATTCTCCAAATCCTTTGCAACATAAGAATGGCTTGTACCAAAGGTCCATCTAGCCCAGTATCCTGTCTTCTGACAGCAGCCAGGTGCCCCAGAGGCAAGGAACAGAGCAGGGAATCAAGTGATACATCCCCCGTCACCCATTCTCAGTCACT